ATCAAAAACCCTCAGCAACGGAAAGCCTTTTGGTATGGTTGGGATGTCGACAGATGGCATCTCGATCTTTTTTAGAGAAAAAGATAAGAATGACCTGACATGTTCACCTGAGGGCTTTGTAGAGATAAATTCCAAAACTGAGGAATGAATGCATAAGCGACGGTAGGTGGCTAGTTCCCGTTTTCCGGGGAAATATTGCTCAGCACCTAGTTTTATTTCTTGGAAAAGATTTTCTTCCTTCATCGCCTCTTGTCTGCAAAACTCGTGCAACATGTCATGAAGACGACATGTTTTGATTTGACCATCAGATGTTCTTTGCATTACCATCACTAGATTCCTGTTGATGAGATCATTCAAGTTATCCTCTGCTTTACACTCAAGGGATAAGTGGCCTTTATACTGTATGAACCCTTCTGCGATCCACAAACGGATTAGCTTCCAAGCAGGGATCTCAAAGCCTCCGGGAAATGCACCACAATATAAAAAACATGCTTTCAAGTCGTAAGACAAGCGATCATAACTCAGTTGCACCAATTTGTTACAATTCTCAGGCTGGTCTTTATTTATGAGGTGTTCGCCCACACTCTCATCCACTTGTTTCCACTCTCTTGATGTCTTACCTTTCCCAATTAGTGCTCCTGCAATAACAACAATCGCAAGGGGTAGTCCATTACATTTTTTGGCTATGCTCTTTCCAGATAGTTCCAATTCAGGAGGACATTTATCTTTATGGAAAACTTTCTTCTCCAGTAAAATCCAACTTTCATCTTCAGTCAGAAATTTTAAATCATGAGGTATACCAATGCACTGCTTGCATTGCTTAGCAACTTTGCTATCTCGAGTGGTCAATAATATTCTATTGGATTTGTTGTTGTTTGGGAAAGCTATTCTGATACGTTCCCAAGCGTCAGGAGACCATACATCATCCAAGACAATCAAGTATTTTCCTCCCTTGCCCAAAAAATCTTCTATTTCATCAGCTAAATCCTCCTCACACATATCATGGTATTGTTTGGTATTGCGAGTGAATTTGCTGATGATGTTGAGAAATAATTCTCTTCTCCTGTATGATTGAGAAACATAAACCCAAATGCGAGTAAAAAACTGGTACCCGATGTCAGGATGCTTGTAAATCTTATTTGCCAGTGTCGTTTTGCCGAGACCAGGCATTCCAACAACTGGAACAACTTCTAGTCCACTCGATCCTCCCAGAAGACGGTTGATTACTTTATCTGCTTCCTCTTCAAATCCAACCACATCATCTTCCTCTACCACTGGAGGCTTTCAAAATAGCAAAGATAAAGATCAGATATATGAATTTAAAAAAAAAAAACATCATGTATTTGTACAACTACAAAAAGATACGTGCTTCTGTCTTTGAAAATGTAATAGTTAGTTGGTCAAGTGATATGCCTAAAAGCAGATTCTCAATCACATAGAACAGTGACTGTGAATGTGAATTAAATCGCATTGCATTTTAGGAGGGTATCTACGCGTTAGTCATTAATCAAGAGTGTTAAATGTACTCTCATATTTCAACGCACTGTTGCTTTCTGAGAAAAAGTTTTTGGCTAAGCAATGTCATATTTATGAGTTCGATTTGACCATTTAATTATTTGATCTTGGCCCTCTTTTGTTTAGATATTGACAGACCTTTTAGCAAAATTGAGTGGCAGTTCTATTGTTAACAGATGATTCAATTTTACTAGATTATTCACTTTCCCCTTTCCCCAATCCAAAACAAAAAACAAAGCGTAGTCGAAATATTTGAAAAGACAACTAGTCAATAATGCAGTAGTTTTATGTTGGTACTCCAACGAATGAATTTGAGTTGTTTAATACTAGCAGCAGTTAGTAGTAACGCATGGATTAAAGAGTAGTCGAAGATATGCATACTCAATTAATGTTGCCTACATTTCAAACCATCCCAAATCTACAACAAGTAGAAACATTTCCATTGTTGTGATACCTTTCTTTCTTGGACACCTTTGGCAGATTGATCTTCATCTTGAAGGGCCTGAAGGTCAAGGGCATTATTGAGACGGATTTCTTTGACTTTGTCTCTAATAGTTTTAATCTCACCTGCTACATCATACACTCTTTTATAATGCTTAACATCCACAAATCTGCCAACCCCTTTGTCCTTGTGAAGCTTGGCCTCAATCACAAACTTATCAATGGCATCTTCAGCAGAGTTGACCACAGTCTTAATTTTCTTCACCAATTCTTTGTGGACATCGTTCTCACTGCGGGACTTAGCAGTTTGCTTGAGAAAAGCGTTGAAATCATTGAGATCTTGAAGCAGACTCTCAGCCGAATCCTTAACCCCAATAATCAGCTCTGCATTGTCTCTCAGCAGCTGCATCAAGTTCTGCACCAGAAATTCCACCGCAACGTTCGCCATGTCGATCGATCGACCAAAATGTTAAGCTCTAGCAGAGAGAGCAGAGACTTTTTAAGTGTAAATGAGTGGTGTTGACTCCACAACTTGTTCAGACAAAGTCTCCTCTTACCTTTTTTTCTGATTTTTATATTCTCCACCATCATCCCTGCATTATTAAAAGCAATAGAAAAGAGAAACTGACAGCTGCCAAACCAAATATATGCATAGAATGTTGGTTTTTGCACTTTTGCTCGGGTATTTTCCCGGTCACTTAAAAAAAAGACGGCCAGTGCTCGTGTCTTCGACGCAATTGCTGGGTTAGTACGATTGGGCAAATTTGTCAAATACTAGCCCCTCTGTTCTAGTTACGTTAACTTATTTTTTTTTTCCGTTTTAAAAAGAATGATTTCTTTCTAAATTTGATAACAATTTTAGTTTAAACTTACAATTCTATCCTCAATGGGAAGCTTTTATAACCACACAAATACTCTGACCCCTTTTTAACTTGTTTAGGACCACAAATTCCAAAAATCTTCATTTTTTTTAAACTTTGTGTCTAATCAAACAAGGTTCAAATAAAGAGAAACATAGGGATTAGCAGTTTTTTGTGCTTTTACTATTTTGTGGAGGAGGTAGCGTATAAATAATGGGTTCAAATTCATTAATATTTTTTTATATCAAGTATAGATATTAGTATGAAAATTTAATATTTTTTTATGAAAATTTAATTAAAATTCAACAAAAAGTGAATTTACAATTTCAAAGGTGTAATGAATTTAATTATAAAATTTTATCAACTTAAGTCATAACCATCTCTGAGCACTTTCACTTTTTCAAAAATAACAAGGAAACACTGTGTCATAGAATTAACAGAATTACTGTATTTCCATGAGAGTGAAGCATTTCTAAAGATTACTGCTGTTTGACCAAAAAGTGCAAAGTTTTTCGTTAAACTAATTAATAAAGAAAATGGAGGATAAATCTTAGCCAAACATATAACTTTAGATCTAAGCATATTGAATGCGAGAATTGAATGAAGTCGAGCTTGTATAACATTTCTTAGGATGATTAAAAGACATCAAACGTAAATGATAAGCTTACATCTTTGATATATTGTTCTGTACTTGTAAGAGCAAAGAAGGAAAGGAAGGAATGTCGTTGATAACTATGAGATCTATCTTTTTTGATTCAACAATGACGATTACAAACGTTTGTAACCAAAATCTAGGCTTTTACTTTGTTGTCTCTCCTCCCGTTCTTCCGTTCCTTTTTCTCTTTATCTTGGAACCCCCTTTTCTTGCCTTCATCTGTCATATATATATATATATAACCAATCTTCCTCTTTATCCAACGGTTTTTAACCACCATACCCTCTCTTGACTATACTCTTCCTTACTCACCCAAGTGTTACGACATGTGTTCTGCCGTGTAAGCCTTCTGATGGCTCGATCTCGGCAATGGCGAGCTACTCGCCACTATTACGCCTCGTGAGTACGACTATGGCTTGGTCAACCTCTTACAATTCCTTTTAATGATAACCCACTTGTGGCCAGATTTTGACCCATACAATTAGTCCCTCCGCCCGTTGGGGTCGCCTCTTGGCGAGCTCGATGGGCGGATTCTGTTGATTCAAAAATAAGGAGAAATTTGGACATGTTATGCGAGGAACGAGGTCCATATGGCGAGGTAGCGACGTGATGCTTCAAGAGTTTCATTGGACCGTTACGTCGGTTCAGAATTGGACCGCCACACCAATACAGGATATCATGAATGCTTATTATGCATCATTATGGCGCACGTTCCCCAGGCACCGTATCGTTTCCTGTGCCCTTTCCATTTTTTGATTGGTGGCTCTTGGTTTTCTTGCTCAGGGCATTTATGTCCCTATAAATATGGGAGAAGCCTCTCATTTGGTTGTTGTGCTTTTCAATTATCTAAGAAAGAATTTTGCAAACTTCCTCCTCCTTCTCTAGTCTTTCATACTTCTGCTTTCGCTAGAATTCGCTGTGACCATTACCTTTTCTCCTTCGTCGCTTTAGTTTATTTCAATCAAAGAAGACAAATGGCTAGTGCTCCTTCCTAGTCTGATAAAGTTGTTGGTGCTCCGATGCCGGAAAGTGACGTATCCCTACTCGAAGAGGGAGTGGAGGTGGTGGAAGGCGAGGGGTTTCCGACGGTGGATGAGGTAGTCCCCCGTCGGGGGAAGACGAGGACTAATTTTAACAGCCTTTTCGAAAATGAACTGGAGCCCGTTCCTTCCATTATGGATGATGCGGTGATCACGACGCTCAACGCCAAGTGGGGAATCCTCGATCATATCAAAACGGTGCCGGCGGGGAAGGACATAGTACATTTGCACTGCCCGAGCTACTGCGCATTTTATGCATATCCCTTTATTATCGGTACACGCTCCCCCTTCCTTCTCAGGTGGTGGATTTATGCCATTTCTACAAAGTGTGCCCGACTCAACTCTCTCCGTATGCGTACAAGATCTTTCTTATGCTCATCAAGTATGCGAAGCTGGCCGGCCGAGGAATTTCCCTAGGGTACATGCTCCACATCTTCACCCCTCATTTTCTTCGGGGTACGATAATTCATATACGCCATAGAGGAACCAAGAGTTTGGTGGTGAATATGGACGATAAGGCCAATCGCTGCTTTTGGGAAAGCTACTTCTATGTGTGGACAGATTAGCTAGTGGTGAACTCGGCAGGGTTTCCAGAGATATGGAACTTCGCTCGTAAGTTTTCCCCTATTTACTTTGTGATTTTTCTTAAGATGGTCGTCGATTGTCTTCCTTTTAGCGACTTTGCTGAGGACTTGTTTTTTTGCTTTTGCAGCCGAGAGACTACCTCCTCCGCTAGTTGCCGATATTTGTGAGTGGTTGAGAGTGATTCTCCCCCACACATGGGGATTCATGAGTGGGCGCCTTTCCATAAGACGTTTGGGTGCAAACCTCTTACTGGTGAGTCAGCTTGTTGTAGTATTGCTTTGTTCTCCGCTTCATAGTTTCTTTAACCTTGTCGTTATATGATCTAATCCCTCCTTGTTGACAGGTCGGAGAGGAGCGAGAAGGACGAGGGCTCCTCTGCTCGCATTCTGTCAACCAGCGCCCTCTACCCAGCCTGCGCCGAGGGCTGCTGCCCGACCAATACCGAGAACTACTGCCCGACCTACGTCCGTGGCTGAAGCTGTACGTTTTGAGGTTACTTCTCAGCTAGAGACACCGATTCCCACAGCTCGTTCAACGGGTGAATCTTACCGCGTTGGTAGTGGAGAGGCCCCGTCGAAGAGACGAAGGGTAGTGTTGAAGGAGGCTTCTCCAGCCGAAACATCTTTGAGGGGCGACCTTGCCCCAATGATGCCCGGAACCAGCGGTGGTGCCAACCCGGCCGTGGAGACAACGCCTGTTGCGAGCTTTTAAGGGGCTAATATGGAGAAGAGACAGAGTTCCGAGGCTGCCGTTGTTGTTTCGGGTGGACCTTCAACATCTCGGCAGAACCGTGCCCCCTCTTTGGCCAATGAGAAAGGGAAGGGCGTCATGGTTGAGGATTATGAATCCGAATCTTACATTGACCCCGAGGACATGAGGATGTTCGAGGAGGGCTTTACCCAAACTGTGGTAAGAGCGGAAGGCCATTCCCGAATACTTGAAATTCTATTGGATCTCAACCTGCTGCAAGACATAGTGGATTTGGTGCCGCAGCTCGATCTTCTGTGCTCCGCTGCTGAAAATGGAGCTCTTCAGGATGTCAGTGACACCGAGTTGTCACGCGGTGTGGCCATGATGGGCCTAAGGGTGAGTACCTTTTTGTTTTCTTTGCTTTGTGACCTTTGTCTTTATTGACTCTTTTCTTCCCTCTCTTCTTCCTCCTCTTTTTTTAGACTTACATGTTGGAGGTCAAGAGTGCTCGTAGGGCCGAGACGCGAGCAGAGATTTTTCTGAAGATGGTCTAGAAGTATCGACTGTACTGCAATAGATGTCGTGAGATGCACAAGCAGCTCAGAGCGGGCGCCAGTACCCAGTCTTCCAGGGAGGTGTTGGAGAAAAGAGATAAGGAACTGATTCGGTCTATCCGCAGATGAAGTGAGCTTGAGGAGCTGCTTCATGCCAAGGACGATAGGACCTTCAGGCGAAGGTGCTATCTTTACGAGCTAAGCTTGAGCAAAATGCTACTAAAGTCGATGCTCTGCGTGTAGAATGGACGGAGAAGGTAGCCGAGGTAGAAAAGAAAGTGGCCGAGATGGAGAGAGCCGAGAATTCTCAAGTGTCGGCTTAAGCAAGGGCGGCGGCACTAGAGGATACTATCTGCATCCTTAAGTCTGAGCAGGTGTTTGAGAAAGTGACGACCACACTAAGGGAAGCACGGCTCGAGGAGCAAATTGGTGAACTTGATCGGGACATTTCGATCTTGGGAGACCGAGTTGCGGCTCTTGAAGCTGAGAAGGCACAATTATTGGCTCAAGCTCCCCCTCAAGAGTCTGCTTCAGCCACTGTTCCCTGCCGCATGTATGAGTTATGGGTCCATGCCAAGGCCCAACGTGATATATACAAGGGTTTATGGGAGGCGTGGAATGTTCCAGAGGCCGCCTTTGAAGATGCTCGGGCGAAGGTGCACGAGGCTCGTGCTACCTACGGTTACGACCTTGCAACGCCGGAGGCTGGTGAGGGCATTGATATTGAGGACGGGCTCTCTTCTGATGATGATGATGATGTTAGGGAGAACGGCGGTGGGGATGACGCCGAGTGAAACTTTTGCTGCAACCTTTGTAATTAGTTTTTTTTGTTCTTTTGTTATTTATTTTCATCTTTTTCTTGAGGGCATGTTTTGGCCTTTTGTAAGGTGCGACTGTTGCGCATGTAAATTTGAATGAAATAGTTGCTTCGGCTTCGTTTGTGTGTCTTTTGATTTTCTTTTCCTTCCCTCCCATTTGTTATATTTTTTGCGTAGACCTTCATATTTCTTTGTGATGAGTCCCTGATCTTTTTAATTGGGAATTCGACCTTGCCCGGATCGAGTAGGATCTCATCGTGTGAGTCTGAATGAAGTCACTTTGGATCTGCAAGTTTGGGCGAGGTTGACTTCTGATTTGTAAACTTAGGCAGAATCAACCTTAATTCAAACGAGGTCAAATTCAGGCTCGCCATCTTTGACGAAGTCAGTTTCGACTTGCATATTCGAGTGGGATTAAATTCGGACTTACCAATTTAGCCGAAGTCAATTTTTCCATATGTATTCGAGCGAGGTCGAACTCGGAGTTTCCATCTTGGGCGAAAATTTCTGAGTTATATATTCGAACGGGGTTTAAATTAGAGTCGCCATCTTAGGCAAAGTCAATTTCTAACTTAAATATTCGAATGAAGTCGAACTTGGACTTGCCATCTTGGGCGAAGTTAATTTCTGACTTATATATTCGA